TGAGTTATGATCATACTACTGCACTCCAGCCTGGGCTACAGAGTAAGGCCCCCTTTCTAAAAAGAAAAAGAAAAAAAAAAAAGTAGGACTGTCCACCAACAAGTGAAGAAAATGTGTGGTGCATCTACACAATGGAATACCATTTAGCCTTATAAAAGAAGGGAGTGGGACTCTTCCAGCTACATGGAAGGATTGCTTGAGCCCAGAAGTTGGAGTTCAGCCTGGGCAACATAGCCAGACCCTGTCTCAAAAAAAAAAAAAAAAAAAAATCCTGTCATTTGTGATGACATAGGTGAACCTGGAGGACATTATGTTAAGCCAGGTATAGAATGGAAAATACCACATGATTCCACTTACGTGGAATCTTAAAAAGTTGAATTCATGGTAAGTTCAAGAGATCTGTTGTATGTCATAGCGACTATATATTGTATCCTTGAAAACTGCTGAGAAAAGAGATTTGAAGTGCTCTTACCACAAAAAATTAGTTTGTGAGGCAATGCATATGTTAATTGGATTGATTTAATCATTCTCTAATGTATACATTATTAATCAATTATTTAATAGACAGGGTCTTGCTCTGTCACCCTGGCTGGAGTGCAGTGGTTCGATCATAGCTCACTGTAACCTTGAACTCCTAGGCTCAAGTCACCCTCTTACCTCAGCCACCCGAGTAACTGGAACTACAGGTGTGTGCCACTGCTGCACCTGGCTACCTATTTTTAAACAGCATGCTGTACACCATAAATACATACAATTTTTATTTGTCAATTTAAAAAAGTCCATTTTACATAAAATTAATCAAGGTTAGACTTTCCTGTTCAACTGGATATGTACAAATGCAATGCAAAATAACTCGAAGATACCTCTGTGGTACCTTCCTAGATTCATACCTCCAAATCTATAAAATTCAACTATGGCTCTTTGGATATGTATTTTAGTCCCTAAATCATGTTTTCTTTAAAGTATATCTGATTTGAGAATGAAATTCATCATGTACTTAGTCACAGATTCATGACTTGAGAACAACTCTTAGTTTAAAAATGTGTTAACTCTAACAAGGTTCAAGAAAATTCACATGCCCACCCAGTGAGTACCTGAGTTGCAGCAGGTGATCCCTACATATTTGTTGACTGAATGTCAAGTTTGCCAGCCTTTAAAGAATCACACCACACTGTTAGAAAAACTGACACGAAGGACCAAGTGTGATGGCTGACACCTGTAATCTCAGAACCTTGGGAGGTCAAGGGGGAGGATCACTTGAGTCCAGGAGTTTGATGCCAGCCTGGACAATACAGTGAGACCTCGTCTCGAAAAAAAAAAAAAAAGAAAGAAAAATGGACACAAGTGTTTTATCCCTTGTCTTCTTTAATGTATTATGCACTTCCTTGATTTTCCTGTGTCCTACTATTCAAAACTGTAACAATTTTGTTCAACATTAGCACCACATCATTTTATAAAACTCAAATCAGCCAACTTCCCTGGAAAGGGGTTGATGGAGGTGAATAAAGAGAACAGTGGAAAGTTTGAGGCTGAATATATATATATATATATGTGTGTGTGTGTGTGTATATATGTGTGTGTGTGTATATATATATATATATATTTTTTTTTTTGGGTGGAGGGGAGACAGTCTTGCTCTGTTGCTCAGGCTGGCGTGCGGTGGCGTGATCTCAGCTCACTGCAACTTCTACCTCCTGGGTTCAAGTGATTCTCCTGCCTCAGCCTCCCGAGTAGCTGCAACTACCAGTGCCCACCACCACACTTGGCTAATTTTTTGTTTGTTTGTTTGTTGTTGTTGTAGTTAGTAGAGACGGGGTTTCACCATGTTGCCCAGGCTGGTCTCCAACTCTTGAGCTCAGGCAATCTACCTGCCTCGGCCTCCCAAAGTGCTAGGATTACACGTGTGAGCCACCGCGCTGGGCCTGAAAATAGATTTTTTTAGATTGCCTGTAGATTTTGGTCATGGCTTCAGCTCACTTGCCAGTATTAGCGATGGCTCATTTAATGGTTGGCTGGCTGGATTTCCGCTTCCTCTCAGCTTCTATCATCTTTCAAGTGAATTTCATAAGAGCTGATCCTACCAAATTGATTTCTAGCCTGGACTCCTGGTAACAGTACAGGGGGTGCTAAGTGGAAGAACAACCGAGAACAACAAAGTGGCATCTTTTTTTTCCTGCTATCCCCTACTCTGACAACTCACCTCAGGACAGAACACCTGTTCATCCATGGTTGTAATGTGGTATCATCTGATACCATAGTGACAGAGTCCAATGTGTCAGTTTAGGTTAAAAACTGTCTTTAGTAGCTTTCATTTCTATTTTTTCACTTGTCTGGCACTCTTTATTTTCCATTCTTTTTTTTACATGCTTGCATCTTAATCTCTATGTTGTTTATTTTTAATATTTTCTCCTGAGATTCTTGAAGTGTGGTAATTACTCTTTTAGCAATCAATGAAGCTATTTGGGAAGTGATTGGTTAAGCTGTGCCCCTCAAAGTATAGCCCTCAAACCTGAGGACTTGAAATATATTAGCAAAGAACCTCGGTTCTAGTCACAAGCTATACTTAGTGAATTAGATACACTCCACAAAATTCTGCCAAATTTTAGTGTCCATCAGTTTTTTTAAACATTTCTAATTAGCAAAACACACAAACAGGCCTACGACGTTTGCAAATTTAGACAAATCCTGACTTAATACCCGTGGACCTCTCCTGACCTCTGTCCCCATCCCCACTCAGCATGGGTGACCTCTTTGTAGTCAGCTCTTGTGTAAGTGCTTTTTATACTGTCAGATTATCCTTCTTGCCACAGCTGTTAATAAATCTGAACACAAGATCTTGAATATTTGTTTTCATCTACTTAATATTGTGTCACTCTCAAAATGGCACCAATTCCCTTATTATATATACTGTCAATGGAGTATTTATCATCTTTAAAGAAACAAGTCACTGAGCATCTCATAAACACCAAGAGTCTTGGGGTGTGCCTTCAGGGCAGCAGACAGATACATCCCTTCAACACGTGTATTCACTTCAATTCATTTTTTATCACTGCCCAAGCTGAATCACCATGCTTCTTGTTACATGGGTGCCCCAGTAAACAGCAGTAACTGTGAGAACCAGCAAACCAGTGGGGTGCATTTCCTGTTTTACTGGAATTCCAATTTATTTGATGGATACTTAACTGTTGGGGACAGTGGAGGTGTGGCCTTGCCTGAAGGCTGGCGAGTAGACTAAGTCTCTCATGAGGACAGAGCTGATATTTTATGGCTCTTTGCATGTATTTTGCATTGCTCATTTTCCTTTGGAGCCTTCTTTTAGAAGTCTCCCCATCTCACGAAACTCTTCAACTCACAAAGACTCCATCTTAAAAATCAGGGCACTAGGCTGGTGGCTCATGTCTGTAATCCCAGCACTTTGGGGGCTGAGGCAGGCAGATCACTTGAGCCCAAGAGTTTGAGACCAGCCTGGGCAACAATGGAAAACCCTGTCTCTATAAAAAAACACAAAAATTAGCTGGTGTGGTGGCCTGTGCCTGTAGTCCCAGCTACTTGGTAGGCTGAGGTGGGAGGATTGCTTGAGCCTGGGAGGTTGAGGTTACAGTGAGCTGTGATCACCCCTGCACTCCAGCCTGGGCAAGAGTGAGACCCTGTCTCAAAAAAAAAAAAAAAAAAAAAAGGCCGTGGTTCATTCTTTCACAAGCTAAGTGAAGCCCACATTGGCACAGGTGCCACCTACAGTGTGGAATCAGAAGCATCATCTGATGTTACAACTTCTGGCCTCTTGCTCTTCTTTCTCCTTTGCCTACTCTTCTATTTCTCCATATTACCTTTTTGGTTGCCAATGCCTTAGATTTGCTCATGAGCATTTGTAGTTTGGTAGTTGGCATACAAAACCAAAGGACTAAGTGTCTCCAAGTTTGAGTTGTAATTCTCCAGTTAAATTTCTTTCTTTGAGATTTATTACAGTAATAGGTTACTAAGACTAATTCTCACTTAGGGTATGACTGTATTTTATTCTAATACTGAGTTGAAAAATTATCATGGCCTCATATCTATATATCTACATCTGTGTATTTTAAAGGCTCACAACTCTTATACTGTACAAATTGAGCTTTAGAGCAAAATTTATTCAAGATAATATTTATCATGTGTCTTTATGTACCAGGAATGAGAATACAGTGGTGAACAGACAGAAAAGTCTCTGGTTTCCTGTAGTGGGCATGCTAGGAGCAGAATGGCTTCATAATTCATTTACTCCGTAAGTCAGAGAAAAATGATGGTACAATGATGGTACAAAATGATGGCTCAAGTGATCTGCCTGCCTCAGCCCCCAAAGTGCTGGGATTACAGACATGGAAGGGATTGTGTGTAAAATTTGTGACAGTAAGAAAAAGAAACTGGAAGGGAATACGCATTTGCCATGTTCTATAATATGCCACAGACATTGAATTGAAAGGAAAAAATAACCTTGTAACAAAATATTTCATGTCAGTTACTTCTATTTAGGAAATACATGTTCATTATTTTCTTCAAACTAGGAATTACTTTATCCCTCTTTTCTTTGAAGTTATCTTAAATCTGTTATTATTCAGGATCTCTATCCAACTTCTTATCAAATTACCCTATTTGTAGCTTCCAAACGTTAACATCTCTCTGCTGAAATGGAGCCTGTAAAAAGCCTTAGGGGCATAAACTGTGTGTGAGGCAGAAATGGTATTTAAGCCCTTAATGAAGTTACGAGCTTTCAAACTGTTGCACTTTGGGTTTACAGGATCCTTCTTCCATGTCCCTTTTTTTGGGGGGTGCGGGAGGATTTGGGAGAGTGGGGAATACTCTCACTACATATTTATTACATTTATTATCTTCTCTTTTAAAATGCAATTTTCACGAACTGGCGATTTATGAAAACTTCACATTGCTGGAAGGCATCTTACACTTTTTTTTTCCCCCTCAACTCACAAGGCAGTTTCTTTCTACTGGTCGAATTCTCAAGGCAGAAAAGCTACATATGTCTCTCGTTTCTTCACTAATTGTTCTCTAGAAAAGGGAAAGTGAAGAAGAGAACGAGAAAAGAAAACAGGGAAGAAAAGAGCATAGAGAAGGAGAGAGGAAAAGTGGGGAGAGAAGGGAAGAAAAGGAGCGAGAAAACGCAGGAGCCCTGGTTTGCCGATGAGCAGACCCGGCGCAGCCACAGCGCGGAGCTGCGGCGCCCACTGGTCCTTGGAGCTGCCAATCGGCGTGTAATCCTGTAGGAATTTCTCCCGGGTTTATCTGGGAGTCACACTGCCGCCTCCTCTCCCCAATAGCCCAGGGGAGCCCGGAGAAGCAGGCTCGGGAGGGAGGGAGGGAGGGAGGGAGCCGGAGGAAAAGAAGAGGAGGAGAAGGGAGGAGAAGGAGGAGGACCCGGGGAGGGAGGCGCGGCGCGGGAGGAGGAGGGGCGCAGCCGCGGAGCCAGTGGCCCGGCTCGGACGCACTGCTCTCCAGATACTCCCGGAGCTCCAGCCGCGCGGATCGTGCGCTCCCGCCGCTCTGCCCCCAAACTTCTGCCGCAGCTCCCTTTCAAGCCAGCGAATTTATTCCTTAAAACCAGAAACTGAACCTCGGCACGGGAAAGGAGTCCGCGGAGGAGCAAAACCACAGCAGAGCAAGAAGAGCTTCAGAGAGCAGCCTGCCAGAGCACCAACTCCGTGTCGGGAGTGCAGAAACCAACAAGTGAGAGGGCGCCGCGTTCCCGGGGCGCAGCTGCGGGCGGCGGGAGCAGGCGCAGGAGGAGGAAGCGAGCGCCCCCGAGCCCGAGTCCCCGAGCCCGAGCCGCAGTCGCTGCGGCTACTCTGCTGCCGATTCCTGTGCGCGGGCTGCGCCGAGCGCTGGGCAGGAGGCTTCGTTTCGCTCTGGTTGCAAGCGGCTGCTGCGAGCAGCCGGTCCCTGGGGAATATGCGGCGCGCGTGGATCCTGCTCACCTTGGGCTTGGTGGCCTGCGTGTCGGCGGAGTCGGTGAGTGGGCCAGGCGGGGGACGCGCGCGCCGTTTAGGGTGTTCGAACCTACAAGAGGAGCCTGCGGGGAATAGGGGAGCGCCACCTGGGGAGCCCCCAGCCCCCACTGTACACCGGAGATACGCTGGGACAAATGCGCTCGCCGGGTCACCCTTTCCCCCTCTTCCCTTCCACAGAAAAGCGCTGCTCGCTGGCGTTGCCCCGCGGTCCGCGGGAATCGGGGCACGAGAATTGCAGTTTGTTTTAACCGCAGAGGCCCCTGAAGTCACTCCCAACTTCTTTGCCCTCGGCTGGTCTTGCTGCGTGGTCCGAGAAGGACGGAGGGGAAAGGGTGGCAGGAGGGGGGAGCTTGGGTCGGGCCCGCGAGGGAACGGCTCTGCTTCTCACGCTCGTCGAGACCAGGGATGACCTGGAAACTTTGGGGTCCCTTCCTCCGTACACCATCCCCCCACGCCAGCTTTCCTGCTTGACTGCGTGCAAGTTCTGGGGAGATGGGGGCCAGATTTAAGAGACCCGCGAGTGTCCAGAGATAAAAGTTTGCAAAAGTTCTTTTGTTTGATGCTCCCTGCGGCTAGGGCGAGGTAACCCACACTACGTGGAATCGCAGTCCGCGGTCCCGCATGGGGACACTGGAGGATGCACGGAACGCGTCCGAAAATGCTGGGACGCCGACCACTGGATTCCCAGTCCTGCAGCGACCCCCTCCTCGTTGAGGGGCGGAGGTTAGACCGCGGGGCGTCAGGGGCAGGAGGACATTTTCATAGGAGTTGCATAGGAGTGCGGCAAGCAGGGCGAGGCGGGGTACGTGTGACAGGGCTCTTGGCTTCGGGTCGCCTGGCCCCTCGGGGACAGAGGCTTCCCTCCCGCCACGCTAGCCCTTTCTGGCCCTGGCGGGGCGCTTCTGGGGCCGGGAGGAGTCTCGTCTGCGGCGGGGCGCCTGCAGGCACCCAGCTTCCCTCCCCCGCTCTGGCAGTGGGAACTTGATTTCTCCTTTTGGTCGCGCTTCGGGGGCTGGAGCTTGTTTTCCCACGTCGCCCAATGAGCGCCCTCTAAAGGGAACTGCCTCCTTGGCCTCCTCTCGTCCTCGGCTGCCTCTACCTGGGCGCCAGGAGCTGCTCTGTCGGGCCAGGTGGAAGCTTGAGCACCCCAGATTTCGTCTGCAGCCTCAGTGCTCTCTGGGGTCTCAGGAGTGCCGCTGTTTCTGGCCCTTCCGGTTCCCCACGTCCTCGCCCCTTTGCCGTTTAATAACGTGTCAATTTCTAATTAACTGAATTGTCTCTTCAAAGACAATTTATATCATCTTAAGGTCTTTTAGGTTATTTTACAAGTTTGAGTCTCCCCCCTCCCCTTTTTTTGTGCTGAGGCTAATTTAGGACTGGGAAACCTCTTTGGCATCGAGCAGCAGATGGACATTTTTAATCAGTGTGGGAGCCTCTGTGTGTGCTAGCAGATCCCCATACATTCTTTGTGGTTGGAGAGCATGTAGAATTGGAAACTATACAGATTACATGAGTATTTTGGGTGCTCAGGTTGTAAAATAGAACTCCTAGTCTTATCAGTGTTTCCCTTTGGCAGATGATGGTTTAATCCATTGGTATTAGGTATCTTCCAACCAGTTATGGTGAACTTTGGCTCTTTGTACACCAAAAGGCAGCAGTTCTCTTGTTTATTTCAGATAAAAGTTGTTGCTCATCTTGTTGCAAAACAGGGCAAAGGGACTTCATGTAATAAGTTTCAAGAGCCTTCCTAAAAAAAATGCACATGGTTAAGGAGGATCTTTTTTTTGCTGAGTCTTATTCAGGGATTTGCTAGGAAATCTTACTGTTTTGGGATTCTTGAGAAAGAATGTTTCTGTCTTCTGCCACTCTGGGTTTTTGCATAAATCTAGCAGTGCTCCTTAAGGAAGTTTTCTGGCCGAACTATATACTGGTTCTCCCCGGTGACAGCTTTCCCCTGAACTGTGTGTGTTTGGGGTTCTAATATTTCTCAGTTTGAACCAGAACTGGATGCTTTCCGAGTGAACTGCTTCATTGTGATAGACACTGTTTTCAGTAATTGGAAAATCATCCAAAAAGGGTGATTAGATATTTATAAAATGTCAACTTGGAGACTAGCAGAGAATCTTTGTTAGGCAGTGAGTCAGTCTTTCTAAATAGAAGCCGTTTCAAGGCCCAGAATGGCTAACAGTCCATTTAAATTACTTTTCGGTCTCTGTTTGTTTCATGTATAGCAACAAAGATATAAATGAAGTCAAAAGACTGAATTTTAAAAAATTTAGCAATTACAGAATATTATTTCCAGCACTTTGCATTTTATTTTGAAAACTGCAACTGTTTCCTGGGATTTAGAAGTAGTGATTTGGGTTTAAAGCCTCCCTTTAAAAGGAAGAAAGGAAAACTGCCTACAGTTAGTGAATTATTGAGTTTTATACTTAGCTCTGGGGGGAAAAAAAGAGGTTCTCAGGAACTAAGGCTCAAAACTGCCTATGAAAAGGAACTGGTAGCTGTTCCTTTATGGATCCTGGAAACAGCTGGGAAATCCTGTTCCTAGTGATCCATTCATACTTTCCACTGGCAGGTTAGGACTTTCACTGTGGAACACCAGGCAAGGGGAAAATCTGACTGAGTGTGGCAGTAGTGATATGCTGCTGGTTTTGTGTCCATTTTGTACATGACTGTTTATCTTTAGAAATAATATATTGCAGACTGCTATAAACACGTAATTTGAACTGGAAATATGTTTAAGAAAAGGAAATGTTTTGAACTAGAGGAATTTTATAAACATTCTTAGATGTCTGTAAATTAAAAGAAACTGTCAAGTCATTTGGACTCATGCATTATCTCCCAGTGTATTATGAAAGGCAGGCTCTGGAAAGTTTACATTAGAAGGGTAACTAAAATCGAAATCATGTAACTGTTTGCAGTTTTTTAGAAAATATAGTTTGGCTGTTTTATGAGTGAAACAAATTGCTTTTGCTAGGAAATTTTATAAAAATGAGGGTTCTTTCTTAGTTGGGTGTTAGCAGAAGGAGGATGTCATTTAAGAAGGAAAGATCTTAAAAGATCAGGCTTGTAGAAAACGGATGTCTGAGAAGCAATTTGGGCATGCCCTTCAGCTCCTGCCTCTAGGACCTGATATGTCTAGTTTTGATGGTAACCACCCTTCGAGGGGTAGCCTACCAGAGACTGTGTAATATGATGACTTAAATGGCGCCTTGTATAGTCATTAGTTTGGAAAGGATTTCAAAAGGCGAACTAGTTTGTTCCCTGGGTGGAACTAGTTTTCAAGTCTCCAAAAGCCCCCGGAGACCTGACTGGCCAGCTAGAGGTGGCTTGGAGTCTCCACTGGTTGGGAAGGCCCCTGAAGCTGACCCAGTCACACAGAGCCCTGCCAGCCCTGTCGTTAAGGTTTAGAGTGAGTCCAGTCAAGCCACTGTGCTGTTGGCATACCTGCTGGTGGGGATCCAGTTGTCCTGTGAGGAATGCCATCCGAGTTTAGATTCTCACTAGATTGCCCTTCTTCCATTGCCAAAAATCAAACTAGAAGATTTTGCCCATCGTTTTCTTCTTCCCAAGGCCCAAGGGTGCATTGCAGAATCTCAAAACCACTGAATTCTTTTCATGGACTAGAGGCCAAAATAAAGTCTTAGAGAAAAGCCAGAAGTAATGAAGAAGAATCTTTGCTAAAACCAATCTACTGTTATTTAACTTTTTTAGTCAACTGTGCCAGTGCTATCATTTTCATCCTAGTCATTTGGATTTAAATCTTGAAGAAACCCTGGACTCATTCATCTTTGTTGGTTTCCTTGTCCAGTCTGCCTGTAAGTCCAGCTGTGCATTCATTCTGCAAATATTTATTTCATTCCTACTAGGAGCTTGAGGTAAAGCAGTGAGCAAACCGGGCAAATATCCCCCTGCCTTCTTGGAGCTTGTGTTCTAGTGATCTTTCCGTTCATTCTTTCATGCCTTCAGTGGCCAGCATGAAACTTCCGCAGGAGTGCCAACCGACCCCAGAATGCCCTGGTCCTTGGGAACCTGCACTTAAATATGTAGCGTCAACAGTTGTTTACCCAGCTCCTGACCTGAGCTCAGCACTGCAAAGGGGTCAGGGGTTTGGAAACGTGGTCCCTTCCCACAGCGCTAATCTTTTTTTTTTTTTTTTTTTTTTTCCTCTTGAGATGGAGTCTCACTCTGTCACCCAGGCTGGAGTGCAATGGCATGATCTTGGCTCACTGCAACCGCCACCTCCCAGGTTCAAGCAGTTCTGTCTCAGCCTCCCAAGTAGCACTACCGGCACGTGCCACCGCACCTGGCTAATTTTTGTATTTTTAGTAGACATGGGGTTTCAGCTGGTCAGGCTGGTCTCCAACTCCTGACCTCAGCTGATCCACCCGCCTCGGCCACCCGAAGTGCTGGGATTACAGGCATGAGCCACCCTGCCTGGCCATTGGTCTCTTCCTGCAGCACTAATTTTGATGGGTGAGAAAATTTCTTTCAAATGAAGAACTTTCCCTTCTTTTTTTCTTCCTTGGGGGCTTGCCAGCTTGTGCTTCTATGTCAATAGCCTTGTAGTTGCCATTCCTGGCCCAGACACTTGCATGCAGTTTGGTTTGTCCTCCACCACTTTGATCATGTTGCCCATGGTCTAGACACCTCTGTCTGTCCTTGTTATCATGGCATATAGTCTGTATGCCTCTGCTGGATTTATAAGCAGTTCTATAGTAGCTTTCCTTTCTAGTTACTCCCTTGATCGCTTTCCATCACGTCTCCCAGCCCTGGCCCATTGGTATCACTATCATGAACACTCCCTGGGCATTGCTACCTTTTCAGTGTTTCTCCTTTTAAATGCTACTGATTCAATCCAAGCTCCAAATACCTTTTCATGGCTGATCCAGCCCTGTTGTTTTTTAATCCTTCTGTAAGTAGTAAGGCATACTGATGATCAGAATCATTGGAAGTATGTGAAAATGCAGATTTCAGGCCTTCTCTCAGACTTACACA